TTTGAAGGGCAGAGTTACAGAGAGGCAGAAGTAGAGAGAGAGGGGTCTTCCATCCACTGGTTTACTCCCCAAATGGCTGGAATGGCCAGAGCTGGGCTGATCCAAAGCTGAGCCAATCGGAAGATAGGAACCTGGAGCTTCTTCCGGGTCTCCCAAATGGGTGCAGGGCCCAAGGACCTTGGCCATCTTCTACTGCTTTCCCAGGCCATAATAGAGAGCTGGATCAGAAGTGAACTAGCTGGGATTCAAACTGGAGCCCATATGGGATGGCAGCACTGCAGGCAGCGGCTTCATCCACTGTGACACAGTGCCAGCCCCAATTCCACAATCTTGAAAGCTTGAAATTCCCAGCACCAGGGAACCGTGAATCCCCAGTGCTAGGGACCTTGACAACCATACAGAAGTCACCCTTTCGTGCCCCAGCTTAATGTCTGACTTTCAAGGCGGCAAGGTGCAGTAGTTACCGGGGTCCATGATTCAGAATTCAGGGGATGGGAATGCTGACCCTGTCAAGTACCAGCTGAATCACCTTGTCAAGTCACTTTATGTGCATTCGAGCTTCTTTCCCATTTGTTGCATATACAGTGTTTTGTCACTTTGTTGTAAATATTTCTCAAATTGATAGGGATTATATACTACTAGTTTATTGTTCTAGGACTAATTAAAAATTTACCTGAATGAAGCTGAACTTTTGAGTATTGTTCACAACCCTTGCCTATTTTCCTGCTGGACTATGTATGGTCTTTCAAAATTTTATTTATTGACGTCTTTATTTAGTAGAACTAATGTAAATTTAAAATGTTAAAAAATAATAAAACAGGGTGAATTAAAGAAGCAATCCCAAATAAGTAAATAAATCAATTTTAAAAATGGTTGTTATCAGATAGGCTGTCCCTAGGAGGAAGAGAAATGAAATCCCTCCCATAGGGCCTTGTGGTGGAGTTCCCTCTCCTTAGCTTGCATAACTGTTCACTGAGGCAGGTGTGTGTGTGTCTTTTCTCAAAATGTGAAGAGTGTGAAGACCTGATTGAGTCTGTGCTGAGGGAGAAGCTGCAGTTGCAGCATGGGCAGCTGGCAGCTGACAGCTGCAGAGAAGCTCAAGGGGGCTCCCTCAGGGCAGGCAGGTGGAAGGGTGAATGTGTATCTGAACTGGGGCAGCTCAGCTGGAGGAACTGAGGGCTAACATGGGCTAGGGAAAGGGCAAGGATTTATGTAGTAGGCATAAGCCTCACACGTGTTTATGTTTATGATACAGGTATACAACAAAGAAGATAGTAAACTATGGCTGCAATGGTAACTTACAGCTTCATTTTCCATTTTGAAAACAAGGAATTGAGTTTAAATTTAGGTAACATAAAATGGAAGAAAGGAAGGGGAGCAACTCAGAGACATTTCATATCCACACAATGTTGTTGGATTCCCACCTCATTTATTCTATCTCCATCACCCCCTGACTGATTATGGACACTGTCTTAGGTTCTTATAAATGCAGTTGCATCTGGTTTGTTTCTGTGAGTACCCTTCTGTGCAGGCATTGCACATTGCACCATGTGCATTTTTACAAGGAAACCCCCTTGGTTAAAGTAACGAACTGAGGGAATATCTTCATTTTGAGCTGAGGAAGCACCCTGGCATTGTTTGTAGAGGCTGTTTTCCAGGAATCTCCTAAGTTCTCTCTGAAATAAAGAGGAAGCTCATGTTCCTTCTCTTCTTCTTCTCTGCCATGTGGGCATTTCTATGATGCTGGGCAGAGAGCCCCGCAGGCATGTTCTCACCAAATCTCTGCAGAGATACAGAGACCATATCATGGGATCCCTCCACCTTTACATTTTCTCTAGTCTTGTATTTAGGGAATACCATGTGCTAATTCAACAGCAGGCCTAAGAGCTGACCCAGTGGCAACAGAAGTTACAAGAAGGAAGAGCTCTTTGTAAACTTATCCATTAGCATCTCCAGGACATCCTAACACAGCAGGACCCTGACAGCTGCCAAGGGCAGGGCTTCCTACAACTTCTCAGCAAGCTACTGAAGCTGACAGAACACCTTGCTGCAAGCTTAGCGCAGGTAAAGTGGCTCAGGCTCTGACGATAGTCTCAAGGTAACACCATATTCCACACTTCTGAAAAGGATATTTCCTACCAGCCTTTCTTGCCAGTGAACATTTGTGGCCATGACATGTAGGAATACAGAGTGGTAAATGCATAGGTTTGAATGTTCCAGTTCTCCCTTCTCCATGATGCGCTTGGCCTTGGAGCAGGAGGCAGCATCCCACCCCGTTTGAAAACACAGGAAAGAGGTTGTGACAGGACACAGCATGTGAGAAGAAAAAGAGCCCTGGGCTGAGTGCAAGCTCAAAGCTCTGTCATCAGCACTGTTTTCACACAGTTGATTTATATTTTCTGAATTTTCATCTCTTTTTCTGTAGAATGTGTCAAACAATCTTTTGTACAGATGTTAACACTCAAATCTGGGAATAGTCACTGCTGTATTTTAAATTCCACATGGCATTGGATCAGGTACTTGAAGTAGTAGAAGTTGTCCCTTGAGTTTGTCTGCTTGCCTAGTGCCAGTGACATCACCTACATCTGTATGAAAAATGTTACCCTATTAAACTTTTAGTCCTATTCTGTCTCTTCTAAGTTGGCTTGTTATTATGGCTAAATAGCCATTTATAGGCAGGATGTAAACACTGCTGCCCTTTTTATGCTAACAAGATTCCTGGATGCAACGTTGAACCCTGTAGTTCCTAGTTGCTGTGAATCTGTTCTGTAGCATGCCATGGGAGTACAGATTCTACCCATCTAATCTCATGTATAAATTCCTTTCAGTCATCTACAACTTGGATGTCTGGCGAAAGAAGGTTGCATAATGCAGCAATTCCTTGACAATGTAGAGAGAGATGTTCCACAGAACCAGAAGGGGGGAAACATACTTAGAATCAGGACTCAGGATGTTTGGGTAATTTTTTTCCCAAAAAAACTTTTATTTAGGGAATACAAACTTCATATATTTCATAAGTACAACTTTAGGAACATGGTGATTCTTCCCACCATACCCGCCCTCCCACTCACTCTCCCACCCCTTCTCCTCCTGCCTCTCCTTGTTTACTAAGATCTATCTTCAATTAACTTTATACACATATTATTAACTTTGTTAAGAGTTCAACAAATAATATGAAAAAAAAAAAAACCAAGGGCTATTCAAAGTCATTACTTCTCAAAGTGTCAATTTCACTTCCACAGATTGCCTTTTAGGTTGCTCTGTTGGTTGTCATAGGTCAGGGATAACATATGGTGTTTTTCCCTTTGTACTGGCTTATTTCACTAAAGATGATGTTTCCAGTTTCATCCATTTTGTTGCAAATGACCAGAATTCATTTTTAACCACTGTGCAGTACTCCATGGTTTCTTTATCCAGGCTTCAGTTCATAATTATCCCATAATTTCTTTATCCAGTGTTCAGTTCACCGGCATTTGGGTTGATTTAATATCATAGCTATTGTGAATTGAGCCACAATAAATATGGGGGTACAGATAACACTCATATGCTGATTTCATTTCCCTTGGGTAAATTCCAAAGAGTGGGATGGCTGGGTTATTATGGTAGGTCTATATGCAGATTTCTGAGGTATCTCCATAATGCTGAGACTTGTGTGATGACCTAACATGTTGTCAGTGCTAGAGAAAGTTCCATGCACTGGTGTATTCTGCAACTGTAGGATGAAAAGTTCTAGATATCTATTAAGTCCATTTGGTCTATAGTATTGATTAACGTTGTTTCCTTGCTGATTTCCTGTCTGGTTGGTCTGTCCATTGATGAAAGTGGGGTAGTGAAGTCCCCCATTGTGGGGAGCAACTGGGAGCAACTCAGACTAGACTGTTACTGGAATTAAGACTTATTCTATGCATCTGCTCTCCCACAATATGGCACTGGGAGAGGAGGAAACAGCTTCTACACAGCTGCCTCCAGTTCAACCAACAAGCTGCAGGAGCTGCTCCTGATTGGAGGAGAGCAGCGTACTCGGCGTGTGGGTAGCAGAGTTGGGATTGGTGGAAGAGGACTATAAAGGAGGAGAGAGACAACATGCACCAGGAACATCTATCTGAAGGAACACCTGTGCAGCCCCCGAGAGAGCCGGCCGGCGGTGTGCCGCTCCCCCGTGGAAGTGGGGAAAGTGGCAGGGGGAACCGCCCTTCCACGGAGGTGGAAGGGACGGTAGCCAACCCGGGAAGAACCAGCAGCAAACCCGGGAAGGGCCGAGCAGACGAAAGAACAACGCAGGGTCCAGTGTTGCTCCTCCACGAAGAGGGGGAGCGACATAATGGTGCCGTGACTCGGATATGAAGCCTAGGCAGGGTTTAGTGTTGTTCCTCCACGAAGAGGGGGAGCGACATAATGGTGCCGTGACTCGGACAGGAAGCCTAGGCAGGGTTCAGTGTCGTTCCTCCGTGAAGACGGGGAGCGACACCCCATTACAATTGTATTGTAGTCTATGTCTCCCTTTAGATCAATTAACATTTCTTTTAAATAGTCAGGTGCCCTGTAATTAGGTGCATATATGTTTATAATAGTTATATCTTCCTGTTGAATTGATCCCTTAATCATTACATAGTGCCCTTCTTTGTCTCTTTTAACAGTTTCTGTGTTAAAGTCTATTTTGTCTGCTATTAGGATGGCTACACAGCTCTTTTTTGGTTAGCATGGAATATCTTTTTCCACCCTTCCACTTTTAGTCTGTGTGTATCTCTGTTGTTGAGATGTGTTTCTTGTAGGCAGCAAATAGATGGGTTTTGTTTTTTTCCCCCATTCAGCCAGCCAGTGTCACTTAACTGGAGAATTGAGACCATTTACATTCAAGGTAACTACTGATAAGTAACAACTCGACCCTGCCATTTTCCCATAAATATTCCTATTGTTTACTTTGGGTTTCTCTTGTACTATTGGGAGATTTTCTTCCTTCACCTTCTTTAATAGCAATGACTGTGTTTCTGTGTGTAGCATATCCTTAAGCGTTTTTTGTAAGGCTATACGGATGGTGGCAAATTCTTTCAATTTTTTTTTTTTTTTTGGAAGTTCTTTGTTCAATCTTCATTCATAAATGAGAGCTTTGCAGAGTACAGTATTCCGGGTTGAGTTTTTTTTCTCTTTAAGAGTTGGCCTCTCTCTCTGCCTCTCCTCTCTGTGTAACTCTGACCTTCAAATAAATAAATAAGTCTTAAAAAAAAGACTTGGAATATATCTCGCCATTTTCTCCTACCCTGTAGAGTTTCTAACGCAAAGTCAGCTGTGAGTCTAACTGGAGATCCTCTGAAAGTAATCTGGAGTTTCTCTAATGCATATTTTAGAATCTTTTAGTATAGAGAGTTTGACTGCAGTGTGTTCTGGTGAAGATCTTTTCTGGTCATGTCTTTTAGGAGTTCTATGTGCTTCCTCTACTTGGACGTCCCTTTGTTCTCCAAATTAGGCAAGTTTTCTGTTATTATTTCACTAAAAAGCCCTTTTAATCCATTCTTTTTTTTTTTTTTTTTTTTTGGGACAGGCAGAGTGGATAGTGAGAAAGAGAGACAGAGAGAAAGGTCTTCCTTTGCCGTTGGTTCACCCTCCAATGGCCACCACGGCCGGCGCACTGCAGCCGGCGCACAGCGCTGTTCTGATGGCAGGAGCCAGGTACTTATCCTGGTCTCCCATGGAGTGCAGGGCCCAAGCACTTGGGCCATCCTCCACTGTACTCCCGGGCCACAGCAGAGAGCTGGCCTGGAAGAGGGGGAACCGGGACAGAATCCGGCACCCCGACCGGGATAGAACCCGGTGTGCCGGCGCCGCAAGGCGGAGGATTAGCCTAGTGAGCCGCAGCGCCGGCCATTCTCTCTTTTGACACCTTCAGCAACTCCTAAAACTGTATTTTGGGTCATTTGATAGTATCCCATAGATCTCCAACACTGTTTTTTCCCTCTATGTTCATAATTTATTGTACATTTTGAATTCCACATGTTGATATTAGCTTCTCCAGGCATGGGAACTTGACAAATGAAGTAAACTTTATAATCCACTTATGTTGCTTTCACAGCTGGAGTTTTATTAGGCCTTAATTTGAAGTATAAGACCAGCAAAGCAATGCCTCCATATATGGCCAGTACAGAATTCATTCTGCCTGTAAGAGTGTAAGAGTTGAAATATTTTTTAATACTAGTGAACTGGAATTGAGCATCAGTTTCCGGACCTGCCACGATTTTAATCTTGCCAAGGCCACAAATTCTGCAGCCAGTGTCCTTCAATACACACAACCTGGGCCTAGTTCAAGACCAACATTGTTTTTTAGTTTTCTAGTTCCTTCTTTTTTTTGGTCTGATTGTAAGATTTCAGCAAGTCATCTAACTCGGATTTTCTTTCTTCTGCTTCACCAAATGTGTTAAGGTTTTCCACCACATTTTTTGTTTTATTGAATTCTTAATTTCTAAGATTTCATTTTGATTTCTCTTTAAGATCTCAATTTCATGGGAGAAATTTTCTTTCATGTCATGCATGGATTTCATTAATTCATTAACAACTTTCATGTGTTTCAACAATCTAGTTTTTAAAACAAGATGATACTTCCAGCCAAACCCTCCCTATATCCCTCCCTCCCTCAATCCTGCCTTCTCCTTCCTTATTTTTTGAATTTTTGCAATGACATAGTTTCCATTTACTTCATAAATACAAGGTTAACCCTCCACTAAATAAAGAATTCAACAAGTGGTTACTAGAAAAGCCACTGTGCCTCAGACGTATAGGCAAATATCAAATCTCAAAGTGTCAGTTCAACACACTTGGCATCACATTTTTTGTATTCTCTATATCAGTTACTTATGCTATTTAAATTGTCTATTTCATTTGGCATAATGGTCTCCATTTGCATCTGTATTGTGAAAAACAAGATGTCATTTTTTTGTGGCTGAGTACTATTACATTGTGTGTATATATACCACAATGTCTTTATTTATATTCGCTTTTTAGTTGATGGACATCTGGGTTGATTCCAGGTATTGTGAATGAGTCTGCTATAGACATGAGAGTACAGATGGTTTTCATATGCTGATTGCTTTTCCGTGGATTATATTCCCAGGAGTCAGATGACTGGGTCATGTGGTAGATGTATTTTAATATTTCTGAGGAGTTTCCATTCCGTCTTCCAGTATGTACTGGTTTGCATTTTTACCAGCAGTGTCAGGGTACCTTTTCCCCACATCCTATCATTTTTTATGATTTGATTTTTGGGTGAGGGCCATTCTAGCTGGGTGAGGTGAAACCTCATTATTTTTAGTTGCATTTCCCTGATGGCTGGTGATTCTGGGCATCTTTTCATGTGTCTGTTGGCTATTTGTATTTCATCCTTTGATAAATGCCTTTTTATATCCTTGGCCCATTCCCTGACTAGGTTGTTTTTTGTTGTTGTTGCTGAATTTTTTGAGCTCATTAGGTATTCTGGATATTAGTCCTTTATAGATAGTTTGCAGACATTTTTTTCCCATTCTTTCTTTTACCTTTTTAGCTTTATTGTTTCCTTTGCAGTACAGAAGCTTCTTAGCTTGGTGTTATCCCATTTGTCTATTTTTGCCTTTATTTTCTGTGCTTTGGGATGCCTATGTTTTGCTACATTTTCCCTTATGGTTTTCGCTAGTAATATGATAGCTTCAAGAGTTAAATTTACTTCTCTTATCTATTCTGAGTTGATTGTTGTGTAGGGTGTAGGGTAGAGTTCTGGTTTCATGCTTGTACATGTGTAGATCCAGTTTTCCCATACCATTTGTTGAAGAGTTTGTCATTTCTACGAGGAATGATTTTAGCTAATTTGTCAAAGATGACTTGTTTGTATACATGTGGATCAACTTTTGAGGTCCCTAATCTGTTTCATTTTTCTACCTGTCTGTATTGTGCCAGCATCAGCCTTTTTTGATAATGACTGTCCTGTACTGTGTCTTCCAGTCTTGTATTGAATGCCTCCAGCTTTGTTTTTATTTTGTGCAATTGGTTTAGCAATTTGGAGTTTTTGGGTATTCCATGTGAGTTCTAGGTCATTTTTTCTTGATATGAGAACATGTTTGTTATATTGATAGGAATCACATTGAATGTGTGAATGGGCATTTTGATGGTATTGATTCTTCCCATTAGTGAATATGAGAGATTTTTTCCATTTTTTGTGTCTTCTGTTTCTTTCCTTAATCTTTTGTGAGTTTTACTACACAGATGTTTTATATCTTTGGTTAGCTGTATCCCAAGGCTATTAAATTTTTGTGGCTCTTGTGAATGGGATTGATTTTAGAAAATGTATAGCCATGGCATTGTTTATGCAAAGGCGGTTGATTTTTGTGTGTTGCTTTTTTATGGTAAGAGTGGGCATTCTTGTTCGTGTTCTAGATCTTATTGGAAATTCTTTGGGTGTTGTTCCATTTGGTGTGTTGCCTGCAGTTGGTTTCTCATATATTGCCTTGTGTTGAGATATTTTTTACTGCACCCAATTTGCTTAAGGTTTCTATGATGAAAAGTCATTAAAAAAAGATAATCAAATTCAATTAGATGTCTCAAGTATGCATGAATACAGGGGCCCTGCTCAGGCCTTTGGAAGCTGAAACTTGGCAATGAGGCAGACTTAACCACTGTTTACATACTGAACCCTAGAGATTCCAGTATTAAGTACATGAGTGGCCGGCGCCGCGGCTCAATAGGCTAATCCTGCGCCTAGCGGCGCCGACACACCAGGTCCTAGTCCTGGTCAGGGTGCCGGATTCTGTCCCGGTTCCCCCTCTTCCAGGCCAGCTCTCTGCTGTGGCCAGGGAGTGCAGTGGAGAATGGCCCAAGTGCTTGGGTCCTGCACCTGCATGGGAGACCAGGATAAGCACTTGGCTCCTGCCTTCGGATCAGCACGGTGTGCTGGCTGCAGCGCGCCAGCCGCGGCGGTCATTGGAGGGTGAACCAACGGCAAAGGAAGACCTTTCTCTCTGTCTCTCTCTCTCTCTCGCTGTCCACTCTGCCTGTAAAAACAAACAACAACAACAATAACAACAAAAAAAAAAACACAAAAACAAAACAAAAAAAAACATGAGTACCTAGTATGGGTCTGCTACACTCTCAGCCTTGCTACCCAAGGTGATACCTAAATCAAATAGACCCACTTGGCAGATCACTTCACCCAAAGTGGGAGACAGAATGGCCTATGAATCAGCTACATACCAAGTGTCTGAGCCCTCTGTACTCTTTGCTCCTTCTTTCCTGTCAGGATTTGGGCTTTCCTTCCCTGGATAACAGGAAAAGGGGAAGGAGGTGGGGGTTTAGAACCCCAGAGCAACAGACCTGGGGAGTCAGATGAGAAGGTTGACCAAAGATCTCAGCACTAAAGCAGTTCAGTAGTTGCATTCACTTGAGTGGCGTGTGTGTGTGTGTGGGGGGGGATTTCAGCCAAGTTCGGCCCCAGGTGCCACTGACAGCTTTATCAGGGCTCATGACTGTCAATAAGGAGGGTGGTCATGGAGGGCATCACAACCCTTAGTTCCTCAGCCAGGCAAGGGGCCATTCTCCTGAGAACATCCTCTCACCTCTCGGTCCCTGCATCTCAGTCCCAGACTGTCTTTACACTTTCATAGCCTCGCTCTGGTCAGGGAGTGGGGACTACCACATGGACCACAATTCCTCTGGCTACAGATGAACTCTGCCTGCCAGGGAAGGCTGGAAGGACCAGTGTCCTATTTGGGTGTCTTCCATGCCTTACCACCCTAGCTGGTCAGGCCCTGAGCTGACTCAGCTGGAGTAGCCTGATGTCCTACATAGGCCCATGATGGGACCCTGCTGGTGGAGCACCATGGTCATGCATATGGAGGCCACCTCAACCAGGTTTATGCCAGCAGCTGGGTCACTGTGCAAGAGGAACAACTCTTCCTGGACATCAGCCTCTGTGGTGAGTGTTCCCAGGGTTAAAGTGTTCAATTCAGCCCCAGGGGCTCTTCCAAGTAGGTAACCACATATTCTGTCTGTTGCCACCTGCCCTACCCTGCTCAAGACAGGAAGTGTGGTGGGCTTCCCCAGAGCACATGTGTCAATGGAGCAGGACTGCAGAAAATTAGACTTTGAAGCATGCCTGTGGCCAGCAAGTGTTTACAGCTCAGACCAGCCCCCTAGTCCTTGGGTCATGCCTGGGTTCCGCTGCCCCTGCTATCAGGTCATGATCCCCAAGGCAGGCTGGGCAAAGTCACACTGAATTCCCTATCTCCTGCCTGTGAGGCACCTGCCATGACTCCGGATAGCAAGCAATGGACTTATGATGGCGATGGCTATCTCGCCTCCTTTAGAGTCACCCGAGTGACACTGTCATCCATGGCCCCCTGCATCCTCACCCACCCATCTCCCAGACATCACTCAGACTTCCATTGAGTGAGCCACATGTTCTGTCTCGAAATAGGTTGACTGAGCTCAACCATTCTCTAGAACCCTCTGCTGTGCCCTCAATGTATCATCTCTGGGCACTGGATCTAAACCCTGGGCCTGAAAGAGGCTGCTAATGTCAAGGGCTTCTTGATGGCTCCAGAGATCCTGGTCCACCAGAGGCTCTGTAGATTTCATGCTTTTGTCCAGTGGCAGGGCCCAAACACACTGCAGTGTGCCACTGCACTTAGATTCTGGATGCCACAGGGGTGCATTGGGCTATTCACAAGCCCCTTTGGCACAGGTTGCAGTAACAGCAGGGCCAAGGTGGTCTGAGGGTGTCCACAAACCTGGGATCTGGCAGGTGGGGGGTAGTGTCTTCCCACAATGGGGAGACTGGTCCCCTGCCTCAAGGGCTGTCCCTGAGCCAACAAATGCTCACCTAGAGAATACAGACATCTCTGTTATGGTTCCTGTGTGGTTGGGTGCCTCCTCAACATGTTCTTCCCTGTCCATTTGGGTTTGCAGTCGACCAGATACCTGTGAATGAGGAGGAACTGTACCTGGATTCTGCACAGTCCAGGTAACTCTCCTGACTATGTAGCCTCTTACTTTGGATGGACCTCTGGGGAGAAACACAAGAGGCTATGGAGACCCACTGCACCCACTCAGTCCTAGCCCATCCAATCTCTGGGGCCAACACAGCCTCTTGTACTGGGGATGTCCACAGAGGTTTGTTTGCATTCCTCCTACCCTTTCTCCTATTGCAGCAGTCACTGGGTCCACTCAGATGCATAGGCCTTTGCAGGGACTTCCTGTGGTCAGGGGAGGCTGGATTGCTCTTTATCCTGGGCTTCTCATGTATGTTTCAGCTTTCCTTTCATGGGTGGCACGAAAGAGGACCTGGGGAGGGATGTAAACCAGCCACCAGAGGAGCTGAGTGATCTGCCTGGGGTGTGGGGTTTTGGAAGGTCTGCAGGGCTAAAGCTCTACAACAGATGCATTTGTGTGAGAGAAGTATGGGGAAGTTGGGCCTCTGTGGTCTCTGAGGCTACCCTACAACTTCAGCAGGGCTCCTTTGCTTAATCTTTAACAGGTGGCCATTTGCTCCCTCATGCTCTCTGTCCGTGTGTGTCAGCCTCAGGCTGTGTCTCTTCCACCCCTATCTCAAAGCTGACCTCTGGTCAGGGAGAGGACAGCAGCTGGAGCCCATATTCCTCTGGCCACAGATCCACTTTGCCTTCAGAGGATTCCAGGAAGTAATCCGCAGTAGTCCAATGACCCATTTCTGAACCTCCCATACCTTCTCACCTCAGCAGGCCACGCCCCAAGCTGCTCAAGCTGGAGCAGACTGACATACTGCACAGGCACACGGTGGCTGCCTATCACCAGGCTTACACAGGTGTTTGGGATCTTGAGCAGGAGTAACACCTGTTCATGACTGTCAACCTCAGGAGTATTCCTAGAGCAAAGGGTGCTCCATCAAATTCCAGGGGCTCTCTGGGTATGCAGCCATATGTCCAGCGAGCTGCCACCCATCCTGATTGAGACAGGAATATGCCATAGACTGTTCCAGGGCACACATGTCCAAGTGGTAGGACTCAGATTATAGAGGCCGAAGTTTGCCCTATGGCAATGATTGTTTATAGCTCTGTCCACTAGTCCTTGAGTTGTGCTTGGGTCCCACTGTCAGGCCATGACCCCCAAGGCAGCCAGAGTACCATCACACTGGCTTCTGCAGCTCCTGCCTGTAAAGTGCATGCCAGGAAGCCCAAGGGCAACCAATGAACATGTAAGGCTGATGGTCATCTCCTCCCATGAGATTCACATCCAATGAGGTGTGCAACCTGAACTCTGGCTCCCACAGAGCTGCATTTCAGCCATTTGCCTGCCAGAAGCCCATTGCATTATGGGCAGTAATGACACCATGGGGGCCAACATCATCTGAGGCTGTGCAAGGGACCCAGAAGGCAAGGGTGACATCTTCCTACAATGGGGAGACTGGGGTCCCCTGACTGCCAGGGGAAGCCAACAAGCCAGACTGGTGGCCTAAAGACTTACCTTCCTGCCACCAGGCATGACCCTGAGCCTCTAGGAGGCACATACAGGGAGTATAGGTGGTCCCTTTGTGGTTGGCTGACATCCTGAATGCTCTCTACCTTGTCTGATTTGATTTGCAGTCTACCAGAATCCCGTGAGACATGAGTCCTACCCAGATTCTCCCCAACCCTCCCCAACCCAGGTAGTTTTCTACTTCGCATGCACCCTTGGAGAGGCCACATAGCTCCTGGAGAAACAATGGGATGCAGAGACCTGTTGCACCCATTCAGGACCATATACTCCTGTCTCCAGGGACCATGATGCACCTTACCCTGGGGTTGCCCAGATAGGCTGCCGTTGCCTCTTCCAACTCTACTGTGCAGGCAGCCCCTGCGTCAACTGAAACCACCAAAATCCTAGGGAATTCTGGTGACCACAGTGGCTACCCTGCCTTCCTCAGGGATAATGATACCCCACCCTCTGGCTTACACTCAATTACCATCCTTGCTAGGGTGTTCCATTGTGGATGGCACTAAAAGGGACTGAAGGAGAGACTTGAACCCAGCGAATGCTGAGAAATCCACCTGGGGTGTACTTGGGGGCAGGGGGGAGAGGCCTGGGGTGATCGCACAGCAGGTGCATTCATGGCACCAAGACTAGGGGAATGGAAGCATAATTGGGTCTCCAGGGAAACTTACAGCTTCAGCAGGGTTCTTTGTGTTTCAATGGGGAGGAAACCATCCAGGGCATTAGAGTTCTTTGCTCAGTTGCCAGGAAGGCAGCCATTTTCTCAAGTACCTGCTCTATCCCAGCCTCTCTGTGTCTTATGTCCAGCTGTGTCACCTCCAACCTACTCAAAGCCACCCTCTGATGGGGGGGACCAATCCTGGGGCCCAATTTTACAGGTAAACACTACCTAGCACCTAAGAAAGGCAGAAGTTGGTGGTAGTCTACTCTTCATATTTATGAACATGCAATGCCCTCCCATCACAGCATGCCATGCTGCAATGTGACCCATTTGGAGAAGGTCAACATCCCACCAGAACGTATGATGGGACCATATTCACCTTGTCTGATGGCCATGCTCATGGCAGCCATGTACCACCAGGTTTTTGTCTATGGCTTGGGACCTCGAAGACAAGGAAGACAACTTCAGGGCTTTCAGGTTTTGCAGTGAGTAACCGCCAAGGCATGGTACTCCAGTAAGCCCCAGGGGCTCTCCCCAGTAGAGAGCCACCAATCCACCCTGCTGCCACCCATCCCTGCTGAGACTGCAGAGGCTGAAGCACACCCTAGGCCAGTGAGGGTCTACAGCTCAATGAAGCTCCTAGTTTGGGTCACAAACCCCATACCCTTGGCCCCTCTGTGAGGTCGTATCACCTCATGCTGGCCCCAGTGCCTGCAGCATCCCTATAGCTGGGGAGAAATGGTTACTTGAGGCCTATGGCCACCTCCTGAGGGCCATTCATGCCCCAGTGACACTCCCTGAAAGCCACAGCCCCCAGCATCTGCATCCTGCTTCAGGTTCCAGAACTCACATCAAGGACCCTCTGCTGAGCCCCTTGGTCTATCTTCTGAGATCAACTGACTGAACCCCACCCCCACACCTGACACCCTCAGTGTTCCATCTCTAGGCATCATGCCTGAGTCCTCTGCCGGACAGGGGAAACCAAGCTCCGAGACTTTGTGGGTGGTCCCGCAGATCCCAGTGGAACAGTTCAGAACAGTTCTGTCGGTTTCAAGTCTCCGCCCAGTGGCAGGATACAGGAAGGGTTTGGTATCCCACCCGACACTTGAAATTGGATGGGAGAGGGCTTTTTGCAACCTAGAGGCCCAGTGGGCTGATGCTGGCAGTGACCCTCACTGGGGCAGGTCAGAAAGGCCTGAGGTAGACAGGCCAGGCTGGTGGTCCTTAATGGCACCTGCCCCCCTCCAGGGATGTTTGCCAGCCCAGGCTCCTCCTCAGGATGTAGACATCCCAGTGGTGGGTGCTAGGTGGCTGGCCTGTTTCTTCAATGAGCCTTTCCCCAGTAAGCCTTTTCCCCAAACCTTAATTGGATTTGTAACCAACCAGATGTCTGTAGACGAGGAAGATCCTAACCTGTATAGCCTCCCAGCCAGGTAGGCCTGCTGACCCTGCGGCTGCAGACACTGCAGGTGCACTGAACCCTGCAGAGATCCAAAGAAACACAACAAGCTGTGGGGACACATGGCACCTGCTCAGGATCATGCCCTTGTCTCCAGTAGCAGCGCTTCCCCTCGTCACTGGGGGAGCCCACACTGGTTCCCACTGACTCCTCCCACTCTGCTGTGGAAGCAGTCCCTGGGTCTGCTCAGACCCAGTCAGGGCAGACTGACCACCCGACCGCCCTGTGGCTTGCACTCCCTGGTGCGTTAGGGAACTCTATCAAGGGGGTGACACTACATGGGCCCTGAGGAGAGCACCAAGCCAGCCAGCCACAGGCTGAGAAACCGGACTGGAGGGTTAAAGCTGCTTGACAGGTGCATTTGAAGGAACAAAGCCTGGGGGAACTGAGGCTTTCTTAGGTCTTAGGTGACTCACAGGTTCAGTAGGGAGGGCAGCCAGAGCTGTGTGCTGTCTTGCTGAGCAAGCGGCCATTTGTCCAAGTACGTGCCCATTCTCTCCCCACGTCTCAGTATCTGCTGTGTCTCTGTCAGCCTGCTGTGTCGCTAAGCTGCCCCCTGGCCAGGGAGGGAGATGGCTCCTCCTGCGGCCGAGGGCAGGCAGAAGTCAGCACTGGTCCACTTCCCATGTTTCTGAACCTGTCCTGCCCTCCCACCTCAGCAGGCCAGGCCTCAAACTCCCCATCCAGAGCAGTTTGACCCTGTTGGTCATGTTGGACATCCAGACTCGTGGCAGCTGTGTACCTCCAGGTTTATGCCTGTGGCTTGGACCTTGAGCACAAGGAACACCTCTTCAGGGTGGTGAGTACTCCTGCCAGCCCCAGAGGCTCTCCCAGGGTGACAGCCATGGGTCTGCCCTGCTGCCACCTGCCAGCCCAGGTGGAGCAGGCATGAGACTGCAGGCTGTAGAATCTGAAGCATACCTGTGGTCAGTGAAGGTCTACAGCTTGGTCCAGCGCCCAGATTTTGGGTCACCAAGTTCCCCTGACAAACCTCACCCCTTCACTCCTTTGAGGTCATGTCATCTCATGCCTGCCCCAGTGCCTCCTCCCTGTGAAGTGCTTGCCAGCATCCTGTGGGCTGGTGAGAAACATGCGATGCAAGAGGCCTGGTTCTGGCCCTAGATAATACTGGACAGCCACAGCCCCCAGCACCTGCACTCTCCTCTGGCTTCCAGAGCTCATGCCAAGGGCCCTGTGGTATGCCACTGTCTCTCCTGAGAAGAACTGAGGCGCCACTCCCCACCACACCTTCAGGGTTCTGTCTCTGAGTATCATGCCTGACTTCTTTGCCACACTGGGGCCACCAACCCCTGAGACTTTGTGTAGCCCCAGAAAGAAATGAGGTTCTGTGGATCTCACATCTCTACCCGGTGGCAGGGCACAGGCATGGTCTAGGGTCCCGCCTGCCACTTGAAATTGTATGAGAGGGCAGGGTTCCAGCCCTTGACAACCCAGAGGCCAGGTGGGCTGGTGCTGGCAGTGCCACTGAAGTGTGGTACAGAGGGTCTGAGGAAATCGGGCCACAGAAGTGTGCATAATACCCTGTCTCAATGGGAAAGGTGGGGCCCCCTGGCTTTGGGGAGACAGTGGACAGGCCAAGCCAGTGGCCAGTAGCACCCCTCTCCTGCCCCTGGGGATGTCTCTGAGCCACCAGACAGCTCCCCCAGGTGATGCTGACATCTCAGTGGCAGCAGCTGTGTGGTCAGCTTGCCTCTGCAAGGCACCCTTCCGTGTCTGATCTAACAGCTGACCAGATATCTGTGAATGAGGGGGAGCCTTACCCAGACACTCTGCTGTCCAGGTAGGTCTGCTGAGCCTGTGGCTGTGGAAGTGGCAGGTGCACCGACACCCACAGGGTCCCCTTAGATCCCAGGAGAAATACGATGAACAAATAGGCTGCGGGGACCCGTGTTACCTGCTCAGCCCGCGCCCATTGTCTCCAGAGACAGCATTGGTCCTAATTACCAGGGTGCCCACAGTGGGTGCAGGCCCTGGATCAGCTCAGGCCCAGCAGCCTCGCTGGAGGATTCCAGCACTCACATGGCTGGCCTGTATTCCCTTCCTGTCCGTGTCAGGGCTTCCCTCTGGGGATGATGCAGAAAGGGCCCTGAGGAGAACCCTGAGCCAGCCTGCAATAGGCTGAGAAAGTGGCCCAGGTGTGCTGGTTGGGTGAGTGTGCAGGGAGCCCCCAGCACTAATGCTGCTGGACAGGTGCACTGGCAGGAGCAACGTCTGGGGCCACCAAGGCCATGTTCAGTTGGAGTTCGACCCATATGTTCAGCTGCCTGCGACTCAGAGCAGCAGAGCCTTTGCTCCTTGCTGGTTTGGATCCATTTGCCCCAGTACTTGTCTCTCCTCTAGATTTGCTGTCCCTGTGTCTGATTTTCTGGGTCCTATCAAACTGTCTCTGGCCAGGGAAGGAACTCCTGCCGAGGCCCACTTTCCCTTGGCCAATGATGCACTCTGCCTGGGAATGCAGGGAGTAGTTGCTGGTTTTCCTGTGCACCTTTTTTAAACCTGCCTTGCTTCCCACTCAGCAGGCTGCAGCAGGTCAACATTTCACCTGGTCCAGTAAACAATCTCGTGGCAGCCTTTAACAATTGGATTTCTGCCAGCGGCTGGGACCTCTTACAAGAAGAACATGTTTTCACAGCTGTCATTGTCAGCAGTGAGAATGTGCAGGGCAAGATGCTTTTTCAAGGCCAAGGGGCTGTCCCAAGTTGATAGCCAAGTGTCCGACTTACTACCAACCTTACTGGTTGAATGGGTAAGTATGTTGGACTGCCCGGCACACACAGGTTTTTGGCATGGGCTCATATATGGCTGGGTCCACACTCCTCCTTGGGTCTAGCCGGGGTATACCTTATTCCTGTTAGGTCACTGTACCCATGGCAGGTGGGGCACCATCATGCTAGCCTCTGTGGGTGCTGTCAGTGAGGTGACAGGACATTGGCAAGGGTACAATGGATATGTGAGACCAGTGGCCACTCCCCTGTGAGTCTGATGCCCTGGTGGCACTCCCGGCCATGGCCCGTGGCGTTTTCACACACCTCTGGGTCCCAGACCTCCGCAGAGCAAGCCATGCGTGTAGTCTCTCCTCTGAGACAAGCTGACTAAGCTCACCAGTCATCTAGAGTGCTCCACTCTGTCCTCAGGACTGCACCACCAGGCTCTAGGTTTAAGCCCTGCATCCAGGAAGGGTCACTTCAGTCCAAGGACTCTGGGTTGCTCTAGAGACCCCAAGTGGGCCAGAGGCCCTAGATTTCATACCTCTGTCCAGTGGCACTGCACACAGCAGTGTGCCACTGGCGCCTGACTTTGAATGAGAGGGGGCTGGATTTCAGCCTTTCCTCCTCCCAGAAGCCACTCGAGCTACTGGCCCTCATGACATGGCAAGGGGACAAGGTAATCTGAAGGTTTGCACAGATCTGGGCCATAGGTCTGCATGATGAACTGCCAGAACCCAGAGTGGGTTCCCCTGGCTCCCAGGGAAGGTGACTGGCTGGTATCTTAAGATCTACCCTTTTGCCTCCCCTGCTATTCCTGAGCCCCCCTCTCACTCTCCAAACATAAGTAAACTTGCTGTGGTGTTCCAATAAGACGATAAGACTCATCAGATTACCTGGGTTCAAATTTGTCCTCTGCATCTGATCCAGCTTCTTGCTCTCACGTGTACCCAGGGAGGCAGCATGTGATGGCTCACGTTACTTGGGTGCCTGCCTCCTGTATGGCAGGCCAGGATGCGGTTCCTGATTCCTGGCTTTGGTCTGGCCCACTACTGAAGACATTTGGGGATTGAAACAGCAGCTGGAAGATTTCTCCTTCTTCTTTCTTTCTGTTCCTCTTGGCCTTTCAATTAAATTAAATTTTTAAACATGTTTAGAAAATGGTCACGGAAAATGGAATTAAAAATGAGTTCACTGCATTGAAAACTTTTTGAAATCCATGCAGTTTGTTCATAATATGCACTTCCACTAACTTTTTAAAGAACCTTCCCAAATATACTTGTTGCTGTATGTTCATGAATGTCATGGCATATACCATGTTATTTTTAGTAATGTTACATATAGTTTGCTCCTATGAAGCATATTATGATATATGTTTTTGCTATTCTCCAACTTTCCTCCTCTTTTTGCTCTTATGAGCTTTCCTTATGACTTATGTGTTTGATTTTAAGGCATTCCCAGGAGCACACCCTCTGTCTGGTATGATTCACCCTTGCCTCTGTCCTATAAATCTGAAAACTATTTTTTGTTTTTGTCAAACAGCAGTATCTTTGCCTATTGGCAATCTTATCCTGAAAGCATATGTAAGAAAGATCAACAATAAGAGAACTATCAAAGAGTCTCTGTTGGTTTCTCTTACCGCTCGAAATTTGTCATACAGGTCATGGTCCTTATTCGGTCTCCATCTTGGTGGAAGAATGTGTCATGGTAAGGTCATATGTCAGAGCTCGTTAGCCCAGGCTATCTAGGAACAAGGAACATTCGCAAGCAGAAGGGTGGTACTACTGATAGGTCAGCTCCCAACCATGCCAGACAAGTTAATGGCCATCTTGAACCCTCCAGTGTCCTGAAAAAGATTATCCAAAGAAAACTGCACTTTAGCCAGTGGAGACTAGCATACCATATCCCTGGGCTTTCAACTTAAGGTGCAGAGGTAATCAGAGCTGTCACTCTTAGAATTTATTCTCTAGGTAGTGCTTTACCTCATTTTTTTTTACCATTTTTTTTCTCTCCCTTACTTGTTCTATCCATCAACTGCTGTAACCTTTGTCTGGTCTTACCTCTTTTCCATGGAATGCCACCCTGACAGTCACTACCATCTCCATCTTCATCTCTATTCCCACAGTTGCTGTCCTGATTTTCCTTTTCACAGACCTACAGCCAGGTTTGTCTTCAGATCCAGTGCTCTGGGGACTACCATGACCCTTGGGCCACACTTCAGGGACACACACACTCAAGCTGGGATGAGGAAGAGCACATTAGTTGGCACCATAAAGGGACATCACTCAAGAAGTACACATAGGAGGGCATTGTGGCACAGCGAGTCAAGCCACTACCTGGGACTCCTGAATCCCTTACTGGAGTACTGATTCAAATCCTGGCTACTCTGCTTCCCATTCAGCTTCACGTTAATAGCTCTGGGAAGACCAAGGATGATGACCCAACTATTTGGAACCATACCACCCAGTTCTGTACTCTTTGACTTTGGCCTGGTCCAACCTTGGCTGTGCTGGCATTTGAGCACTGAACCAGAAGATGGTTCTTTCTCAATCTATTTCTGTCTCTCTGTCACTCTGCCTTTCAAATACATAATTTTTAATGGCAACCCTCTAATATTCATACAAAATATTGTTTTCAAAAGTGGACAAAGTACAGGGTTTCAAAATGGCACACAGCATGACATGCTTAGGCATTATGAATTCTGTACTTTTTTTTTTTTTACTGCCAATACCACTTTCATATATTCAGGTAAAATCTAGAAAATAAGCTAGTTACTGAATGTGAGAACACAGCATAGAGCACTTCATTTTATGAGTTCACTTTGGGACAAACCAATGAAAATCCAGGGAGATAAACAAGATCTAAGACAACATTTGCTCTAGGCAGTTCTAACTGAGGAGAATCCTTGTCTCGGGCAAATACAAAAGAAAAGCGTGAACTCCCTCAGACTGTCAGAAGGAAGAAGAAAATCTTGAAGTCCAGCAGGGAATCTCAAGTTCATGTCTGAATAGGGAGAGAGGCAAAAGGAATGCTACAATACAGTCCTGGACTGTATTGTAGTGAGTGGTTCCAACTCACACTATCCTGTCATAAACCCTGGCTAAACTTTGAACTAGCATGGATGCTTTGACTCAGTCATGGAGGGGTGAGGTTATGGTTCAATTTCCTGTTCTCTTAGTTAATTCCATTTTGAGTTTCATTTTATTCCTTTTTCCCTATTCCCCTTGGTAAAAACACCAGATTTCTCTGGAAGGCCTTATTCTGATCTATTCAAGGTAATTCAATAGCCTTCTGTAACTATGAAGCCTCCAGATTGGATTTTCTCCTCCCTCCAACTTTATGTAAAGAGCCTGAAACATGGATTCTAATTACATAGTGTTTAAGAACAATTCTCTTTTTTTAAGACTTATTTATTTATTTGAAAGTCAGAATTACACAGAAAGAGGAGAGGCAGAGAGAGGTCTTCCGTCCAATGGTTCCCTCCCCAGTTGGACTCAATGGCTGGAGCTGTGCTGATCCAAAGCCAGGAACCAGGAGCTTCCTCCAGGTCTCCCATGCGGGTGCAGGGGCCCAAGAACTTGGGCCCTCTTCTACTGCTTTCCCAGGCCACAGCAGAGAGTTGGGTCGGAAGTGGGGCAGCCAGGACTCGAACCAGTGCCCATATGGGATACGGCGCTTCAGGCCAGGGCGTTAACCCGCTGCGCTGGCCCCAAGGACAATTCTTATGTCTTTAGTTATATCCCTTTTGTTAAAAGGACAGATTGGGGACTGGTGCTGTGGCATAGTGGGTAAAGCTGCCGCCTGCAGTGCCAGGATCCCATATGGGCACTGGTGAGTCCAGGCTGCTCCACTTCTGATCCAGCTCTTTGCTGTGGCCTGAGAAAGCAGTGGAAGATGGCTCAAGTCCTTGGGCCCCTACTCCCACATGTGAGACCCGGAAGAAACTCCTGGCTTCGGATCAGTGCAGGAAGTATGACTATAGCCAAGTGGAGCACTTGCCATTACGTCCAGGCATTCTGTGGGCCCAGAGGGTAGAGCTCCTGGAGGCAGGGTTGCCAGTGTTCCAGATATAGATTTCTGTAAAGGTGGCCCAAAAGTAGCAGCAAGGGGTCAGTAGCCTCCAACAATCCTGAAGAGGACAGAAAGAGATGCAGCAGAACTCACAGAATGTGTCCTAACGTTCCTGCCTCCACTTTCTAATGCCTTCTCAAGAGCTTATGTGAGAAACCCATGAGAACATAGACAAACATTGTCACACACACACACACCAACTGCAAAGACAGAAATAAGTTGACTATAATAGCAGCCCAGCAACAAAGAGCAACAGGCAGTAAAGGACACTTTACCTGACAAGACTGCTGCTCTTCTAGAGTGTAGGGCAGCCTCAGAAGCTGTGCCAGACACAACCAGGAGTGGGAAGAGTCTGGGCAAGAGGGAAAATGGTGAACAGCAAGTGCAGAAGGGAGCTCCACATGCAGATTAGCACAGCAGCACTAGGTCACACACAAGAGCGTCCAGGACAGACCCTGCCTCACAGATCACGTGCTGAAGGTCTGCACAGTGAGTAACCTGGAAGGATAAGAACACGGGGAGCGGGCCAGTGCTGTGGTATAGTGGGTAAAACCATCGCCTGCAGTTGCCGGCATCCCATATAGGTGCCGATTGGAGTCCCGGCTGCTCCACTTCCAAGCCAGCTCTCTGCTATGGCCTGAGAAAGCAGTACAAGATGGCTCAAGTGCTTGGGCCCCTGCACCCGCGTGTGGGATCCAAAAGAAGCTCCTGACTTTGGATCAGCCCAGCTCCAGCGATTGCTGCCATCTGGGGAATGAACCAGCAGACGAAGATTCCTCTCTCTCTCTCTCTCTCTGCACCTCTCTCTGCACCTCTCTCTGCACCTCTCTGTTACCCTGCCTTTCAAGTAATAAATAAATAGATCTGTTTTTTAAAAAAGAACATGGGGAGGGCAAGAGAGCAGCCCCACCTGGGGATTATCACCTTTACCGTGAGCATAGCTCTCTCAACATAGGAGCACAGCTGCTCCTTGCCCCTAGCCCAACCTCATCACTCCTTACCTGCCAAGCACCATCCATTAGTCCCCAGGTCCCTCCGCAGAGAACTTTCCATGTTAAGCTGTACATTTCCAGTGTCTCTCACAAAATCTGTGCCCTCCTCCCACTCACTGCCTGATCAATCCTCAAATTTTGCCACTAAACCACTGTTATCCCAAATTGGCATCCAGCTGATAAGATTGTGTTAAGAAGAGACCTACGGCCAAATTTGTTCCATTAGCAGCTCAGGGAGTTGTGAAATTCCTATGAGGGAAGTGGTGCTGTACTGGGATATCTGGGGCAGAGGTGTTAACAGAAGGATCTTGTCACACATTACACTAGAGATAGCCTGTTGTAGTTCACCCCAAAATTCCTAAGTTTCTGGAAAATTCACCAACCACTGAAATTCTAAGATACCCCTAGTTAACCTTCTCAAGGACAGCATTCCACATGGAAACTCCCATTAGTTGCCATATGGCTATGGAATGGGAAAAAGAGTAGTAGGGTAGTAAGCTTTTAAATTGTGATATGACTATGTGGTAGACTGCTTTTAGTTAAATGTGCAAGAAGGAAACTAATATATAAGATGCAGTAAAAGAAGAAAAGAGGAGGAAAGAGCAGCTGGGACAAATGGAATGCCTACAGCAGATGGAGACACAGACCAATCCGGTTTGTTGAATGGGAAGCCACCTTAATATTTTGCGAAATAGACTTTATGACAAAACCTGACCAGAGAGAGACAAGGGCATTATGTAATGAGTAAGTGATCAATACAACAGTAATATATGATTGTAGTAAACGTATATGCACCCAATTCTAGGGAACCTGGCCATTTAAAACAAATACTAACAGATCTGAAGGGATACACAGGCTCCAGAACAAAAATAATGGGGGACTTCAACATCCCACTTCAATCAATTAACAGATCAACTAGATAGAATATCAACAAAGAAACAATAGAGCTAATATACACTATGGAACAAATAGATCTGATATCTACAGAACATTCCTTCCACAGCTACAGAAAACATATTCTATTCATCAGTGCATGGAAGTTTCTCTAGGATGGGCCATTTTCAAGGCCACACACACACACACCTCAACAAATGCAGAAAATTTGAAATTGTGCCATGTATCTTTTCTACCATAATGAATTGAAGCTGGAATTAACAACTTTAGAAACTCTAGAAATTATACAAACACATGGAGAATGATCATGCTCCTGAATGAATAGTAGGTAATAAAGAAATCAAAAGGGAAATCATAAAATTCCTACAAGCAAATCAGGATGACAACACAGCATATCAAAATTTATAGAATAAAGCCAAAGCAGTGTTAAGTGTAAAGTTTCTTGCAATAAGTGCTTACATCAAGAAATTGGAAATGCATCAAATAAATGATCTAATGATGCAACTGAAGGATTTAGAAAAACAAGAACAAAGAACCCAAAATTAGGAGGAATGAAATAATTTGACAATAAACAAAATTGAAACCCCCAAAATAGAAAAGGTAAGTGAAATGAAGAGCTGTTTTTTTGAGGAAAAATCAACAAAACTGATATACCATTGGTCCAACCAAAAAAAAAAAAAAAAAAGGTGGTGGTGGGGTGTGGGAGAAGACCCAAGATGAAAAATGATATGTTACAACAGTTACCACAGAAATAAAAAGAATCACCAATAATTACTACATACAGTTACATGGCAATAAATTGGAAAATCTACAAGAAATGGATAGATTTATAGACACATACAATCTACCAAAATTTAGTCACAAAGACATAGAAAACCTAAATAGACCA